ATATATGACAATATGCATGAAATCCAGTGGAGGGGGCGCTAAGAGAGGGTGCGATAGGGGAGGGGGTCTAAATTTGAATAAGATCTATTATATAAAATGCACAAAAACTCAATAAAAGTATTAATAAAAACTGGGATAAAAGCTGGAGGCCTAGAGAAGGGCAGGAAAGCCACAGGGCATGAGTGCAGACCTCTGGAGCTGGGAAGGGAACAGGAGACCCTCTATTCTGAGTGTTGCAAGGAAGGTGTGCCCCCAGCCCCCATAAGAACCACTGAAGATCATCAGACAGTTTGACTGTGGTGGGAGGAATGAGTGGGATCATGAGGAGGTCTGATCCCCAAGGCCCAGGGACAGAGGTGAGCCTGAGACCACAGAGGAACAAGGAAAGCAGAGTGCTTCTGCCTTGACAGGCAGGGGTCTAGTGACGGTCTAGAACAGGAGAGGGAACAGAAGTGAGTCAAAAGACCCTCTCAGAGGCAGAGGGTCACAAGAAAGCCTAAAGCTTCCTACCCAACGACAAGCAAAATAACACTAGATACAGAAATATTAACACAACCAAACTGACAGATTATGCCATGGACTCAATAACAGAAAGGAACGAACTACTGAGACAAAAATACTACTAACAGTTTTGAACATTCAAGGAAATCACCGAGAGTAAAGAGATAAGCCATGGGTTGGGAGAAAATAAAAAGAAACTGAATTTGTATGTGAAATATGTAAACATATAGATGAACAACAAATAAGCAGACAGCCTAAGAGAAACATGGGCCAGACCTGAGCAGGCATTTCTCCAAGATTCTCAAAGACTTTATTTTATTTTGTTTTGCTTCCTCCTTTTCTTTCTTTTTTTTTCTTTTATTCAATTTTTTTTTTTGAGATAGGGTCCCCCAGTATTCCCAGCTGGCCTGGAACTCATTATGTGGACCACCTGGCCTGGAACTCACTATGTAGACCAGGTTGGCCTTGAACTCATAGAGATCGGCTGCTTCCCGAGTGCTGGGACTGAAGGCATGTGCCACCACACCCAGCTCCAAAGATTTTATTTTAAATTCAAGTAAAAACCATAATGAGGTTACCAGATTGGCTAAATTAGAGATTGGCAGAAATGATGCTGGAAAAGATAAAGCAAAGGAAGTTGGCTGTAAATTTGTATACCCACTTTAGAAAACTATTTTAGCAATATTTACTACAGCTAAGTCCACCTGAAACTTATGACCTAGCTCTTCTACTCCTAAGAATCCAGAAGAAATTAGCATGTATGTTAAGACATGTTCAATTATGTTTATAATACCAAAAATCAGGAAACCATACAAGTAAATTGTGGTACGTAAATACAATGAAGTACTCCAGATAGGCACTTCTAGAACCCATTCCCCACATCTGCCAACAACTAAACCACCATGCCACTGGGAGGGAAGCCACATAGATCTTGCAACTCTGACCCCAGTTGGTACTCCAAGAGCCCGTCTCCCTACCAGGTAGGCACCCCCAGAGTCCATCCCCACACCCACCAACCACCCGACCCACTATATTGCCCAGGCACTGAGTGGTGTCCTGTGACTTCAACCCCAGTGGGGACCTTGATCCCAGGAAGGGATCTCCAGACTAGCCACCACTCTACCTACCTCTACCTGAGGTGTGTGTGACAGCTTGCACCCAGCCTCCAGGGAGTACCACTGTGAAATGATGAAATCCATAGGTAAATGGATGGAGCTGGAAACAATCATCTTGAGTGAGGTAACCAGGACTTAGAAAGATAAGTGTTAGGTGTTTTTGTCTCATATGTTGATGCTAGCTTTGGCTCTTTAGATATGTGTGTTTCATTTGGAATACCCATAGAGGTCAGGAAACAAAGACAGGACCATGGGGGTGAGGAGGCTTTCAAGAGAGGAGAGATAGAATGTAGGGATATGAAAGGGGAAAAGGGTATTAACGGAACAGAAATGATTAAATGAGATGGGAGGCAGAACGGACAGAGAAGAGGAGGGAATAAAAGGAGGGATATCTAATACTACAGATGTTTTAAAAAAGTCATATGGAAATTTACAACTGTAAAAACGTCCTAAAATATACACATATACATATATGAAAACTTTAAACGGAGTTACCCTATAACAGGGCAACAATGCTCCTACTAAACACCACAGACTAACAAATAAAAACCCAGTACCAAGAAAGGGTTAATTCTTTCAGAGTTGTTGACCAGTGGGACCCCATAGACCTCCAAACATTACTGGTTATTACCATTGTTCTTGATTACCCTCCAGAACCTGATAGTACGACCCTATTGCTGTAGGCACAACATATTTGAATCATTGAACATTGAGAAATCAAGCTGGTACTGACCTCAAAGCTTCATCCCTCCTAGCTAACTTTCATGGTGCTAGAAGATACTATGCAAACTATGGGAAGAAAAAAATAATAATCAATTGTAACTAACAGTGAACTCTGCAAGTACAGTTACAACTGTCCTGGCAAGATATGCCCAGTGGTGCAATAGAGGCATAAATGTTTTGGATTTAAGACCAGCTCCACAAGATGGAACCTATACCAAGCACCATCAATGGGGCAAAGAACCTATAGCTAGATAGTTCATAGACCCTATGGGAGAAGCTACTACTATTATTTTGCTAAATGAACATAGTATTAAACTGACTCCTAATGACTTATAATTATACCCATAGATTGGTGACTCTCTCAACCCTCATCAAACAGGTTTTGTTTTTTTCAGAAGATGGCAATTAACACAGAGACTCACAACTGGTCAGTGTACAAGCAGAGAATAAGAAACTGTAGCGTGCTCATCCCTAAAAGAACACCTATATTACACCCCCCACCCAAGGCTCAGGGAACATCTCAGAAGAGGGGTAGGAAGATTTCAAGAGGCAGAGGCAGTAAACGACTACAGCAAAACTTTTTTTTTTTTACATATAACAGGGGAGTTACACACATAAACTCACAGCAGTTGTGACAGTGTGCATAAGACATGCTCAAGCTAAAGCCAGACAAAATCCCAGTATGAAGTGGGGAGGTGGGCACAAAGTCCCACACCTAGCTGAGGCACTATTGGTGACTGACAGCTGCTGGAAGAGGGAGAGTCAGTTTCCTTTAAGGATGTGACCTCTGGTGGTTGACCATGCTCAAGGGGATGGACCCACACCAAGAGTATTTGAACAACACAAATTGGTCTGATGAGGTTTAGAAAAATGGGCATGTGGGACTGGAGGGATGGCTCAGAGGTTAAGATCACTGACTGTTATTCTTTGAATCCCAGCACCCACATGGTAACTAACAACTGTCTGTAACTCCAGTTCCAGGGAATCTGATGCCCTCTTTTGACCACCACGGGCATTTTATGGCATGGATGCACTTATATACACACAGGCAATACACTCATACACATAAAATAAAAATAAATAAATAAATAAATAAATAAATAAAAATGGACATGAAATTTAGAGGTAAGGAGGTAGGTTTGGATCTGAGGAGATAGTGAGAGGGTTGGATGTGATTAAAATATATTATATGAAACTCTCAAAATTAATAAAAATATTACCAATTATAAAAAAAGTGGTTATGAATGATTGGGGCATAATTTATTGAGAAGAGTCATGAATCAGCCTTCTGAATCACAGGAGTGTTCTACATCTCAAGATCCTGATGTTTACTTGATGTGTACATAAATAAACTTCATCCTATAGCACACTTAACTTGACTACATGACCTCAGGTCAATACACTACATAGAAACTATCACTTAGAGCATAGTTCAAGGGCTCAAGACAGTGCATGCAGAGCAAACCAGGACTGACTAGGCGTACAAGACGTTGCCACAGCCCTGACCCTGCGCATTTCCTATCAGCCTCCAATGGATGAGAAACACGCACTAGATCTGTAGCCTGTGGTAGATTGATCTAGATGAAACCTCAATTCTTTTATTTTCTAAACTTATTCAATGTGAGAAGAAAAATCTTTCCTTTTTAAAAACTGCAGAGTAAGCTAGATGTAGTGGTACACGTTTTTAGTCCCAGCATTTGGGAGGGAGATGCAAGCAGATCTCTGTGAGTTCAAGGCCAGCCTGGTCTACATAGCAAGCTGGGGCTACAGGGAGACCCTGCCTCAAAAAAAAAAAAAAATGCAGAGCAAACATTTTCCTCTAATGTTTTGAAACAGAGGCATTTGTTTTTATATACTATTAACTGATATACCACAATGTCTTCCAGGTTTTTCTATTAAGGGAATGAAATTTTTTATTATACCATCATGAGCTTAAATAAACCAAGATTACTACATTGTGTTGCGCCTGAACACAGTGTGTTATAATGGACCCTGCCAACCCTCTGAGGGGGCATAGCTACATCAGCCTCTAGGCCTTGGTCTGTACCTGCTGAGGAAAGTGCAGTTGTTCCCAGCAGAGTAGCGGCTCATACCTCCATTTCTGCCACTGAGGCAGCTACTCTGTACTTGTCTGTGGGCAACATATACAGTACTCAGGCCTTCCAATAGCTTTCCAAGCATATAGAGGCCCCCTCCCTGGGCCCGAGGAGGAGGAAAGTGCCATCTACACCCCCACACTGTGTGGAGGGCCACACATGGCCCATCAAGATTGCCCCCTGTCTCCATATGAGTCTTTCTTCTTAACTTGATTGTTTTTTATCTTCAATATGAATGAGAAGTCCACAAGTCTGACTCAGAATTAACCAGTTTCCTCCAGTCCCTTGCTGAGGTGTGCAGCACCCATGACCGGTGTTAGATATCACTTTTATAATTCCAATACTAATATCCTGTTACTGTAACTTTAAGTTGAACTCTATGAAATTGTTTTGCTGGTTATTTTTTAACCTAAAAGAATTGCAATTTCTTATGTTTCAAATTTACAGGTTTAATCAAGATGGGCTTTTCAGAGAACTGAACTTCAGGTCAGAGTTGAGCCAAAGGAAAAGAAGATTCTTAATGGACACACCCAAATACTAAAGCATCCTCCGTGCAGCATCTTACCTTGGCTTTCAGAGCAGCACACAGTTCTTGTTGCCTTTTCCTGTCCTTAGCCAGTGTGCTCTCCATTTCATGAGCTGCACAGGCCTCAAGGAGAGTGAGCACAGCCTGCTGTATAAAGTCCTTCTTGCTCTTATTCCAATTTTCTATCAGGACTTTTCGCTGCTCTCTAGTAAAACGATATCGGTCACAATATTTCTCATGTTCTACCTAAAAGGGTAACAGATGGTGATTAGCATTCTGAGATGGGCCTATATTTTATGTCATTGTTATAAATGAATAAAATTCATTATAAGGAGTGATTTCAAACAATTAGGGTCAAACATCTTAACAATACCAGAAACAAGGTTCAAGCTTGTTTTCAGAGCCTGTATTTGACTGGCATCTAAGAACAAGCCACTTAATTCCTTGGTTTCCTTCCTTCTGGCAGCAGATGCTTCTTCCAAGAGTGAAGCTCAGCTTTGGGAAGCACAACGTCCAGGAAAATATGGGAAGAGGGAGCCTGAGGAGTTTGAAAGTCCAGGCAGGTGATTCTGAAACATTCCTCAAACAAAGTTGTCTTCTGAAGATGAGAGTACTGTCCAGAATGGACCACACCTGTGCATATTATTAAAGCTCTACATGGCTAGAGTTTAGAAAAGAAGTTAACAAGAAGGACAAGGGTGACCCACCTAAAGTAATGGTAGACTTAATCAGGAACATGATGAACCAGACAGACCATGGTCTCACTTAAGCCAGACACAAAAATCCATTCTGTAAACTTCTTAGCTTTGTTCTATAAGGCTAAAAATATATCTAACATTTGTCAAACATCAATGAAAGAAAGCATACACCATGCAGAAATGCATACTAATCAATTCAATGTAGGAAGTAAATGCAAAAATCTTTATTATATCAATAGCAATAAAATATAAAAAGTTAAACATGACACTAACTGTAGAAGCAAATAGAACTGGTAGGAAATAAAAATAGACCTCTTGTTTAATCAATTATGAATTTTTAAAATAATGATGAGTTGCTTATTAAATAATAGGTACCTGTCAAAGACCAGAATTAGAATAAATATAGTGGGATAGAACTGAACAGGATAAGAAGGATGACAGAAGGTGGCTGTGTGACCTTTACCTAAGTCCCTTTATCAGACATTAAAGACTTCCTCATTCATCCTCACATTTGCTGAGTTTTCACAAGACTGACAGAAAATAATCTGTAAATACATGTATGTGTAAAATTCATGCCTTAATTTGAAACAGCTGCAGAACTGCAGTGTACAATGTTTCTTAGCACAGCTCATTTAAAACTTAAATCTCAGCTTGCTACATGTGTGTTATCAGATGAATTACTACTGAACTAATTGGCAGCACAGTAACTTCTACGTCCTTGCTTTTGTGGTCTTGCCCACTACAGAATGAAACAATAATTTCTCAGTTCCTTTTCAGGAACCTTTCAGTTGTGCCTTTGGTCTCTGAGGTCCATGTGAGAGTCAGGCAAAGCTGTGGTGATGGAGAGATTAGTGACACTGTGCAGTGAAAGCACTGGTTTTCCGAGTCCTATAAGAACTGATATGTGGCAGGCTCTATGGGTAGAAGGCAGGCATTCCACTTTGGGACAAGATCCAGATGTGACAGAATCTTTGCAGGTGAACTGGTGATGGCCAAACACATGGGGGTCATGTGCCAGCTGGGAAACTACTGTTAAGGTCTTCAGGCAAGTGGTTACAGACAGGCCCCCACCTTCTTCTGGTTCACAGGTTTCAAAAATGACCTACACAGGTCTGCAGCCTATTGCATTATCTTCTTTAATGGAGGAAGAAGAATGTTTAGAGCACTATTTAAAAGATATATATTTAGCTTAATAATTAAGGATCACTAAACCATGCAGATCACCAGCACGTAGGAAGAAAGGGATGTACTCACCAAATCATGTCTAGATTTGTGGGGAAAATATCTTTGTAACATGTCCAAATACAGAGTCCTTCTGCCAAGGAGATTTCCAGAATACTGATCTAAAACAGTCTGGTAAATCCAGTGGTCTTCTTCACTTAGTTGCAAGTTTCTAGAAGTAATAAAAATGTCACAGCAATGAAAGTGTGGTACATCTACTCAGTGGAGTCCTACTTAGTAAGAAAAGATAAAATTATGAAATTTGCAGGTAAATGGAATTAGAGAGTGTTATACTAAGTGAAGTAACACAAACACAGAAAAGCAAGCAACGTATGTTTTCACTCATTTGTGGATTGTAGTATCAATCCCTTATATGTGAGTATATAAATTCTGATGTAACACCAGGAGCCAGGTAAAGCAAAGGATACATGAAGGTAAAGGAAAAGAAACAACCTGAAAGGGGGTAGTAGGAAACAGATGTTACCTGAGGGAGGTAGAAAAAGTGGGAGTAATTGGCAGGGAGGAGAGGAGGGAGGGACATGCAAGGGATCATAGTGTGGGGGAGTGAGGGAACTCAGGAGAGGAAAGATGGAGGGAGTCAGGAGGTATTGGAGATAATGGGGGCACTGTGACTAGGGAGGGAGGGAGGAGGGAGGTCATATGGGAAACATATGAGTAGAGATGAATGAATCTTAGGGGGCTAGAAAACCTAGAGGGAAAAGTGATGCCCAAGAAACCCTGTGAGAAATGCACATAGAGTGTCTGAACATTAATGCATATGTATACCTAGGAGCTGCTTGGTAGGGAACACAGTGCCAGATAAAGAAACCTCCCTAGAGTAACAAACATGCCATACAGCATTCATTAAAGAAGTTTCTTTTTGCAACAGATGGAGGCTACTGCAGAGTTGCACATCTGGTCAGGCACAGAGAACATACACCTGGGAGATGCCTGGTACTAGGTGACACATCTGTAGTCGAACCTCTACAATTAAGGCTCATGGAATATAGTGGAATAAGGGGTAAAGAGAGAGATAATGCACCCCTCAAGTCTCACCGGTGAAGCTTCCATGTTCATCAGAGTGTGATACACACAGAAGGCCACAACTGGCCAAGTTTTGGAGAATAAGAGACTGTAGAGTGTATGATGGTACTCCTATATGGAACCTCACCCACCCATGGCTCAGGGACCATTGCGGAAGAAGAGGCAGAAAGACTGTAAGAGCCAGGGATGGTTCATGAACACCTGAGGTAGAAGCTTCCAGGTCACTGGAGGCTTGCACGAGTGAGCCTGCGGCAGCAGTAGCATCAAACACAGGACCTGTGTCAGCTCAATTAAACAAGGGCCCAAAGAGAAGGTGAGAAATAGGTGGCAGGCCAGCACTAGATTGAGAACTATTTGAGACTGATTTCTGCTGAGTGAGGGAGAGTATGACTTACATATGACCACTGGATGGGCTGACTGGACTCCAGTGGATGCATTTACACTGAAGGACATTTGGGTGCAAACACCTGAATGAATAGGACTCAGCATGTATGGCAGAGTGCATAGGGTTCGGTGGGGTGATAGGGGGAAGCATGGATGGGGGAGGGGGTCTGAATTTGAGTGGGAAATGTATGAAATTTTAAAAGCTCAACTGAAAAAAAAATGTCACAACACATAGGTAGCCAATCATGGAGTCTACTGAATTTGGAACTGTTCAAGTTCTACCCAAGTGGTAATAACTGCAGATGAGGCTTCTTTTGGAAACAGAGTTGCACTATGCTGCCCAGGTTGGTCTCAAGGGATTCTCCAGCCTCTGCCTGAGGAACTGCCACCATGAGAATGCACCAACACACCCAGCTGAGGCTTTGCTTTCCTTGATGCTAGCCAATGTAATGTCTGTTCCAGATGTCTCTAAATCCAAAAAGAATGGATTCTTTCAATCCTTGATTTGGTTTCACCACAGTTCCAGGCATAATAGAAGGAGGTGGTGAGATGCAATGTTTTTTAAAAATATATATGCTACCTTGCCTACAGCAATATTTTAAAAACCATTACCAGTGAATGAAACAGATAAACATTGGAAAATAAGTTATTAGGGATAAAGATTAAAAAGAAATTATACTTATTTAACCAAGTTTTTATTTCTAGATTGGAGGAAAAACAAATATAGACAGTGAGATGAGCATTTTACACAAAGGAAAATAAAGACAAATTAAGAAGGGCACTTTCTTGTGTTTGAGGTTCATGGCAAATCAAATAATCTTTTACTCTGTGCTCTTAACTTCATACTTTCACTACTACATACTAGTAGTGAAAAAATAAACAACATTGCTACATTTGAGAGGACTAAAGAAATTATTTGGGCCTTTTATCAAATAGTTTGTTACGTGTGTGTGTGTGTGTGTGTGTGTGTGTGTGTGTGTGTGTGTTGCCACTGAGCACATGAAGAGGTCAGAAGAAAATTTGTAGGCATCAGTTTTCTCTTTCTACCATGTAAGTTCCAGGGATCCAAGTCAGGTAATCAGTCTTGGTGGCAAGTGCCTTCACCCACTGAACTATCTAACAGCAAAGAAATCACTTGTAAAGAAGATCCCTGCAAGTTGCCTTCTAACTGCATACCCATTCTGCTCTGACATTTCTAGTCCTTCCCAGAATCCAGGGCACTGGCATGATTCATGCTCTACACAAAGCATTAGCAAAGTTCTATGCAAAGTGAAAAAGTTGCATTATCAGTTTGAACTCTAAACTGAATTAATGCCTCTTTATATTCTGAGTTTATTTGCATGTTATTATTTCTGCTAAGTAAATTAGAATAATCAAATACAGATGCAATCAGAGGGAGTATTATTAGTAACAAATATTTCTTTGATCCAAGATGGAGACTTGCCACTAGTCATTCCTACTATATCAATGATTTTACAGATTAAACTTAATTACACAATTCAAAAAAATTTTCATATGTCTTTCCACCTCTGAAAAATATTTGACAATTCTAAACAGAATAAAATACCCTTCAAATAAGTGGAATTAATGGGAATCCCAAATGTCCTCATACAAGGTTACCTAGTTTCATTAAAGCACTTCAATATATTCATAAGTAGGTAGAAAAAAGTTATTTCACAAAGGAGAAAATCCTCTCCACCTGCTCTGTAATGGAAAGAAAAGGAACGAGGGAGGTGTTCTTCCAAGAAGAATACAGTTTGGTATGACATAATAACCTGATGCAGGGAAAATTAAGATGAAGTCATTCATGAACACACCAAGTGTTTTGGTTCTGCCTGGCTCAGTTTTGCATGTGCAGATGCCAAAGGCTTCTGCAAATAAAACATTTCCAGTAGGAAAATTAAACTGGGAGAAAATCTTGTCTGAGTATACTTGGCACTTAAAATCCAGGTTGTCAAGGACAACATCTCATGTCCTCTCTCAAGGACCATTTGCATTCAAAGAACATGAATGCATTTGAACAGCAATTAGCCAGAGCAATTCTTCAATATCATCCCCAAACCCACAATAAAATAACAGAAATATAGTTTATGTCTTCAATACTGTTTTTAAACTATTTCTGAAATCAAAGGGCCTTGAATATAGTTTGATTCTCCACCCTTACTTGATTTCTCATGTGTATGGGAAGGGGAAAGTGACAGGACCTATGCCCAATAAGTTCCTGCTCTTTTAAACTGTTTTTCATCTATATAATAGAGGCTGTTGGTGCCACACCCAATCACTTTCCTTGGGTGGGATCCCCATCACCAAGATGCTATGAGTCTTGGCTGGTAACACTTAGAGACCCCTCTCTTCTCTGTAAAATTGTCCTGGATCACCTGGGAAACATCTCACTCTGAGGTTCCCTTCCCACTCTGCTTCCATGGCCAACCACAAACAGCAGCTAATAGACCTGGGCAAAGGAGGCCAGTCTAGTTTCCTCTAAGGGGACTAACTGGTGCCAGTCTGGATCAGCTGACATCAGTCTCCACCAAGATGCCTCCCTGCCTAGACATTGTCCCCTGCTCTATTCTGTCTCCTTCTAGGAGCATCCCCCAACAATTCAGTTGTTCTAGGAACTTCTGTCTCAGTTTTGTTTCAATAGAACGCAGTCTAAGATAATTTCGCAGCAATCTTACCCATAATTTTCAAAAACAGTTTAAATGGTCTCATAAATGGAGAAGTTTTTAAACTAATTACTTTGATGATCTCTCCTGCTGAATAGTGGTACAAGATTGTAGCTGTCCTCAAAGTGTGAATAGCAATCATTTACTAAAATGCTTTTCAAATAAAAGCATACATTAAGCAGTATACGTTTCTATAAGTAAATATAGCAGCAGGAGAATTTGTGGCACTTGGTTCATTTTTATGATCCATGTGAATGTATTAATTAGGTTCCATTTTAGTGACAACATTAAAAACCACTTAGATGTATGAGATGACTATAAAACATTTAAATCCATTATTTCAAACTAAGTAAGCCATGTACAGTGATGACATTCATTTTGACCTTCCTGCTGATTTGAAAAACTTCACATTCCAGTGGTCTTTCTGTGTGTACCACAATTACACAAATTGGAAGTCACTTTTCAAGTATATGTAGAAATAAAATTTAAAACATACTGAAAGGAAATGACATATGAAATATCACAATATTGCCATTTTTAGACTATGTATAGCAGTTTCCAGAGAGGCAGGCTAAAATCTTGAGGCAAATATTCACACAGGTTCTAGTAAGAGCACAACAATATATTTCCATTGGATTGGTGTTTGAGAGGGAGGAAGAAAATTCACCACTCCATATAGACACAAACACACACACACACACACACACACACACACACACACCAAGATGGCATAGTAAAAATTCAAGAGGCATGTTAAAACAGAGCAGCTCCTCACAGTAACAAAGCAGCCATTTCCTAGAAACATTGTCTTTTAGCCTCTAAAACAAAATCATATTCAATATATCTTCATTTCTAAACAAACCTGGACATTTATCATTCCTAATCAAACCACCGATTTTTTTATTATTATTATAGAAGTATAGATGCAAAATAATAAGACTAAAGTTAGCTTTTACCCTCCAAAGTTCCTGTTTAATTTGCCCTCTTTGTTGCTGTCTATGGTAACAAAACAAGCTAAGTTATATGGCTAGTGAAAAATAATCCTTATTTACTTTTTGAAATTGAAAATTGTCTCATT